GGGGGCGTGGAGGGCCCGCCGGTGGCTTTGCGGGGCGACTGGGGACACCTCCGTCCCCCTCCAAACGCACCGCCGGGTGCAATATTCCCGTTATTACACGCCCCCAAGTGCAAATTTGCCACCTACAAACAGCGGCGGGGTGTGGGGAGAGGGCAGTGGGCGCACGTGGCTTCTCGCTTTCTCATCGTGTCTCATGGTGTCTGTCTGTCTGTCTCCACAATGTCTTCCTTTCTCTTTCCTCCACGTGTGGCTTTCACCCAAGGAGTTACCTCTGACTCTGAATGCTTGTCACCGTAGTAAGTACGGAGAGGCCGTCCTCGAGCCTCGCTGCGGGCGGAGGGACGCGGGCGACCGCGCTCCCCGCTAGCGCGGGGCGACCTTGCTCTCCGTGCCCCGTTTCAGACGCGCTCCCACGGGGAGCAGCGTCCCGCTCAGGGTTTCGCAGAAGGAAATGCCTTGGGTTGCTTTGTTGTCTTTGCTGCCCGCTTTATTTCCAGCGGCGAGGCCGGGACGGAGCCAGCCGCCCTCCTCGCCTGCCTCTTCCCAGCTCTCCATCCCACTGGTGCTTGTCCCGCGGGGAGGAGTGGGGGGAAGGCTCAGGAAAGCAGCACCTGTGGCAGGAGGGGATCAGGTCCCAGTGTGCTCCGTCTGCAGGGGCCAAATCCTGCTCCTGCCCAGGTCAAACCGGCAAGTGGGGGGAGATTTAAACCTCCCACAGTGCCGGGCACTGCTGCCCCGAGTCTCACCTCTCCCCTTTCCCCTTGCCAAGGTGAGAAGAAGGCGGACGGCGGCCAAGCGCCAGCCGATTCCACCGCCGAGAAGGAGCCGCCGGCGGTGGTGAACGGGAAGGATGAGGAGCAAAGCACCGAGGAAAGCCTGGGCAAAGGCGGGGGGAGGACGACCTCCCCCGCCAACGCTGACACAGATGCCCCCAAGGAGAAGGAGACGGTGACCAGCAGCCCCGTCTCCCCCGCAGGTTCACCCTCCAAATCACCCTCAAAGAAGAAGAAGAAATTCCGGACCCCATCTTTCCTGAAAAAAGGCAAAAAGAAGGAAAAGATTGAATCTTGAGTCTCCTCCGAGGCCTCCCACCGCAGCAGCGGCTGGGCACCTCTCTGGGCGGAGGCACCGAGGCGGAGGGGACGGCTCCTGCGTCGTGCGTCTGGCCGAGGCGCAGCCGAAAACCCCGGAGGCGAGTTGTTTTCTGGGTACTCCTGGCACGAGGCACTTCGTCCACCGTCACCCGCTTTTGGAGGTGGTCACCGAGCTTACAAAAGATTGTGGCCCCCGTTTGCTGCTTGGGGAAATACCTGCTGCGACCTCCCTCCTCCCACGAGCTCTCCCTTCTCCCTCCCGGGCACCAGCCCCTTCCCACGTGTGGGCTGAGGGTTGTTTGGTTTGGGTTTTTTTTTCCCCACCCATCGCTTGCAGAGCCCTTGTGAAATGCGGGGCGCAGCCCGGATCCGCTTGGTTTGAGGATGAAAAGGGTGTTTTGTTGTTGGGGTGTTTTTGGTTTTTGTTTTTGTTTTTTTTTTTTTTACCTTCTGTTTCAAGCTCCGCTGGAATGGCGCTGGCTTTTCACCCCTGGGACAAAACTCTTCGCCGCTTCACCGGGGGAATCGGATCAAGCCAAAGGCCGGGGGATTGCTCTCCCCAAAGGCAAGGCCAAGGCGCTGGGCCTGGGAGCCTTTCCTTCCCGGGTCGAAATCTTCCTCTCCCCGGGCCGGAGAGCCACTTTCAGTCCCCTTTTCCTGGTGCCATCATCTCGTGTATTTGCCGTACGAGGAAGAGCAGCAGGATTTCACGCTGCCAGGAAAAGCCCCTGCACGAACCGCACCTGTGAAGGGAGAAGGAAAGAGCCTCCAGGAAGTGTCTGCGTTTATTTAAAACTGAGCAAAACTTCACTCACTAAGTGCTACTTGGGGATGAACACACGCTGCCGATTTTTCGCTTCAGTCAGAGGCGCTGCTGCCGCTGCCACCACCCCCATCCCCACCACCGCTTCACAGCGACACCGGCACACACGGCCGAGGCTGTGCCAGGGCTCCGCTTGTACCAGCCGTGGGCTGAGCGAGCGCCCGTCCACCCAGCCAAGGCCAGATCATCGCTTTGCCCCAGCTCTGGACTCCCGAGCACAAATTAAAATCCTCCTTGGCGTTTCCTTCCCACCCAGCCTCGCCTCCCTGCCTCCAGCAAGGCGACACGACCATCGTTACCACCTCCTGGCCGTGCCCCAAGGCAAGAAGAAAACCAGTGATGCCCGTTTGCCCCGCGGCTGCTCCAACGCTGGTGTTCAGGGGACAAAAACAACAGGATCAGCCCCCAGCCCTCCCGCAAGCCACAGGGGTTTGCCGTCTCCCAGGGGTGCTCGCCCCAAGCCTGCCTGCGTGGGGACGGGGCGCCCCCGCCCCCGCCCCTTTCCGGGTCCCGTCCCCGAGGGGGCTTGGGCTGTAGAGGGGAGCCCCACAATCCCCCCTCAGAGGGCACTGGGTTTCCTCCCCCCCAACATCATTTTTCCATGTGCCACCTCAACATTTTCAAAGTCTTTTCGCTGCTACAAGGCAGCTCCCAGCTTTTGTTTTCCCCTACAGAAGAGCAGAGAAAGCCTGTGGCTAGGCAGGGAGCGGGGTGCAGGCAGCTGTGGGGAAAAGGGAGGAGGTTTGTAAACACAGGTTGGTTTTCTCTGCAGGGCTGCCAGGCACATTCTGAACTGCAAGGTTAAAACATCAGAAGTTCTTAAAAAATTGGAAAAATACACACCTGGTGGGTCTCTTGCCCAGGCCCCAGGGTTGACCTGAGCCCCATTTTTGGGGAGAGCGTTTGCCCTATGCCCTGTCTACCCTGAGCTCCAGTGCTGGGGTTAGAGCCATGGCTCCCCACCACGCTCCTGCAAGGACCGGGTGGGGGGTGACGAGTGACCCTGAGCTCCAAAATTCACATGCTCTTGGTTATATTCAACATCTGCTCAGCCTTCAGCCTTTGAGATGCAAACCACAGCTCTCTTACTGTTTCCCGTGGCAGGAGGTGTTTACTGCCACTGATTTTAAGGCTCTTTAAGGCCATTTTTGTCACCTAGCCCATCCCTCTGCGTGTCCCAGGCCAGAAAAGCCCCCGCAGGGGTGTTTTGCCTCCCCAAGGCAGCACAGCTGCTCCAGGAGTGATTACCTGATTTACAACACTGCCGCACACCCCACTGCCGACCCAGCCAGTGCTGCCGCAGGGAGGCTGCGACCCCCTTTTCTCCAAGGGTCTGTCCCCAGGGGCTTTGCAGAGGAGACAGGGATTTATTTCCACCCCCCATGGAAGCCCAAGCCGTATTAGGCGCCTCATGCAGCGTAGGGAAGCAAGAGACACCCATGTCTTCAGCGGGGAGGAAGACTCAAATGGCCACCATCGTGACAGGGGTCCTTGCTGCTTAGCGAGAAGAAAATCAATACAGGATCACATCGACACCGTGGCTCCTCCAGCTGTCAGGGCATCCCCACTCCCACCCCTCCAGGTAACTTCCCCATCTCCCCTGCCAGTGTTTTTCTTGAAGGCGAGGCCCCTGCCTTGCTGCTTTCTTCTCACCTTTTTGGCCTGGGTGTGGGTTTTCCACGGTGGGGTGGCAGGGATGTATCCCTGGGTGCTGGCTGCAAGGCAAATCATTGATCCGGCACCCTGAGAGGTTCCCTGATTGCTGCCTGTGGGCCTGGTGCTCATCACCCTCCATATTTCCACCCTCAACTGAAAAGGAGAGAGGCCGGATTTCTACCTTCAGCCCCAGACTCACTGACGTACCATGGGAAAGGCGGGCAATGCCAGGGTTTCAACCGCATTCAGCGCCCACGTTGCCGCCTGGGGCTGGCAGACACCACGCGCCCGGTGAACCCACCAAAATGAGGCCGA